GTCAGTGAGTACATACGTACGTATGGGTTTGTGCACGTGATTATAACGTGGAAAGGAAGATGTTTCCCAAATATGGGTCAGTGAGTACATACGTAGGGGTTTGTGCACGCGATTATCACGTGGAAGAAAAATGTAATTCCAAAAATAAATATGTGCACGTGGTTAGCAAGTGAAAAGGAAGATGTAAAACCAATGGATTAATGCTAAGGCACGTGATCACGTGAATGAACACTAAGAAATGATTTTCAAAATAATATGTTTATTCGAAAGTTTGTTTCTTGGACTCGTTTCAGAGAACAATTTACTTGAACGCAAGAGCGAAGCCTGGACGCTACTTTATCCTGGTGCATTACTTTCAGCCCCATTACCTCTCGTTTAATGGCCGCGTTATTGTCAGCCACAGTGATTCGGCTGTTGCTTCTCTCATTGACTTCCGGTATTGYCCCCACGTGACCGGATGTAGAAGTGTCGGTGTATCGTCTACGAGAGGCACGATGAAGGAACGGATATCTGTTAACCTTGAATCGGATCTTTTGTTGACTATTACCATTCCTGATGATAAGTCAATATGGATCGTAAGTATTCGTGTGTTATTTCTTTGCTCGTCCGTCATCGCGGCCATGTTGGTGGTAGCCTCCTTTGAAGATACCCCCAACATGGCCGCCATGTCATTGCCAATKTTTGACTCTCTTGGGGATGATATCAAGCTATCACATATTGTGGTCTTATCCGTCATCGCAGCCATGTTGGTGGTAACCTTTGACGATACCCCCAACATGGTCGCCATGTCCTTGTCTCAGTTTGACTCTCTTGGGAATGATATCAAGCTATCAAATATTGTGGTCTTGCTTTAGCTATACATTCTAGGATACCTGATACGAACATTTGATGAAATTGAACGTGTAATTATRGGAATTTTCTTCTCTTTCCAGGACTATATTCTGTTACTTCCYACTCGGTCCTTCTTCTCAACAATACTCGACAATGACCCCGTCGATATTTTTCCAGAATTCCAACAAAAATGTGCCAGAAACCACTTCCAAATCAAACCATCAGCTCCTCRCTTCTGCCTCAGCTCTGTCTTCACTTTGACWTCACGRTTTAACAGAGGGGCGGTATCTTGTRGATGCGACACGCAGGGYTCRTTGAGTGACGGGTGTCAATCATATGGGGGACAGTGCAGATGTAAGAATAACGTGATTGGTCGTACTTGTAATTCTTGTAAAACCGGTTATACTGGATTCCCTAATTGTCGAAGATGACAATACTCAACATGAAGCTTAAGAATGATACTAGGCTCACGTGATGATCAGATATGGTATTAGCCAATCAGGCACCACTATGCCATGGATCTGCATATAAATGTGTACACATGTTCACAAGAACAACTTTTTTCCTTGCTTTATTGCTTTGCTCATTTTCAGCATATATATTCCTCTAACATTTACCACAGTACCAAATCGAAATCTCATTCTAAGATCGAGCCTGCGGTCTTCATGGTCAGTTCCGAGTAAGGAAAAGTGCTGACAATGAGGAAGCAGGCTCTTGGGATAAAATTGGTAAATGGTGTTAGAAAACATTCTGATTGGCTATTTGGCTTGGGAGCTCAACCTATCAGCATTAAATATTTGTGTACATAATAAAACGAGAGAATCAGGCTCAATGTACCTTAATATAAACCGTTTGTCTGTCCTCTATATACACGTTACATCGTCAGATTTTCCGTTCGGTTAGATGTCAGCAGACATAGAAACTTTCATGTTATCTGAAATGTATAATCATTACGTCAATTAATAGGTCTCATTTGGGTTGCAGTTGAGTTACTTTTTAAGCATCCACCGTGACATACATTCCATGCAGTTTGACAGGAAGACATAGAAACAATCCTCAGAATGATATGTGAATGGAAATGGRAARACATTACACCAATAAATGGTTCTCATTTTGATTGCGTTACTGTTTAAACATACACCGTGACAGAAATAGATATAGAAACAATCCTCAAGAGAATGATATGTRAATGGAAATGGGAAAACATTACACCAATGAATGGGTCTCATTCCTGATTGCGTTACCTTTAAATCATCCACCGTGACAGAAGTATTCCATGCGATTTGACGGGTAGTCATAGAAACAATCCTCAAGAGAATGATGTGTGTTCTGAAATGAGAAGACATTACGCATATAAATGGGTCTAATTTTCAACTCCATCTTACCGTAGATTTACCAATTAAGTCATTCGCTCAGTGTTGAGCATTTTATACCGCTCTAAATAAACAAGGCTTTTCAAATAAACTAAATAATTTAATAAATGTTCGAAATTGTACTTATAAATGTAGCCAGTGAGTTGGCTAGTGCTGTTTTCTTTGGGAGTTTATTCCATTCCATAACTGTTCTTGGATAAAWTGAGTACTTGTAATAATCCCTTATAGCMATTGGCTGTTAAGCGTACWCTTTGGCGCGGGTTGAGTAGGAATGACTAACAGGTTCAATTCTGACATCCTCTTGACAGACTTGTTTAAATGCAATTGGACGGGTAGACTGAGAAATTATAATCAAATTAGTTTATGACATTGCCCTAGAACGRAAAGGGAAAGAAACAWTACTCAAGGGAATGGCATGATGTATYMAAAWKSGRAAAAMATTSCGTCCAAAGAATAGGTCATATTTTTCGTTGCGTTACCTAAAATGTCTGCTAAGATAGTAAGTTGACGTCATGCGGTTTGACAAGTAACATAGTATTGCAGATGTAGTAAGCGTTCCTGACCTTCACCGTCTAGTAAGGTAAACAACTCAGTCTTCAACAGACAACAAAGTAGCTATCACATCTTGTTAAACCTTTGTCGTATGATAACGATGGCAAAGCTTTTTYTGAAGAAACTTTATAAATGGCGACAATACTTAATCTTGTTATTAACTCCTCTTCTTCTGGCTCCTTTGCCYATCAGCCTGCCTTCAACGGTAAGTCAAACTAAGTTACTCATGCAGTAATTCGCCGCCAAAATACCAAACGAATGTGCTCAACGTAGCTAGTTTCGTCGTCACTACAGTGGTAAAAATCCAGGCCTACTTGGAGTGCAAACGTAAAGCAAAGCCATGTGAAAGTAAAGTGAAGTCATTAAACCCGTGAAATAGATATTAGATTAATACATTTAAGTAGTCCTTAATTCCATTGTCTTTTTTTTTTGTATCTATTGACTATTACACGTTGACTAACATTTTTTATTTCACGGGTTACACTGTACTAGAGAGAATTTACTTGGCCCATGAAAAATGTTTTAGTAAGCTTACATAATACATAGTAGTACTAATACACTAACACTCTTGATTTCTTTTGTTTTTCTTCGAGATAATTAGTCACTAATTGTACAACGGTTTCAGTAGYCTCTACGCAGACGCTATTAGTGTCGTCACGCAACGCTCACTCCCCTAAGTAATCTCTCTGAACCTGAGCATCAGGCCTTGGCGGCAAACAAGTCTCTCGAGCTCTCCCCACCATTTTGTAGTGATTATGGCGCAAAATAGTTCTAGATTTTGGGATAAGAGCTGGCTCGGGCAAGCAGCAGCTACTTAGGGGAGTGAGCGTGCGTGACGACAYTAATAGCGGCTTGGCGTAGGAGACTAAAGTTTCAGGGGCCAAGTAAAATCCCTCTGCTAATAATAACCGATCTTGCACTATTTAGGGATGGAAGTTTCCACAGAAACAATGCATGTGCTTCTAGTAATCATTATGCTCTTCGCCTTAGTAGATTATTATTTCAAAGTCTAATCGGCTTGACGTTTTTTTTCTCAAAAAATACACAGCTTGACTATTGTTTCGTCGTCGGCTGAGGTCACGAACTCAGCGCATTCAACGACTCGGCTTATTACGGTCGGGGTCTTTTTTGCGGCMACGTTTTTTCTTGATTGAAATTATTCCAATTTTTAAACCAACAGGCGTGATGTTTTCCCATTACAGACCACATGTCATTCTCTTGAGTATCATAAATATACTCAAACAAAGAATATTATTCTCAAGAGAATGACACATGGTCCAAAATGGTAAACGTTACTCGTTCAACCTCATAGGGTCAATAGCACCTTGGGGTTTCGTGTCTCCACAAAAAAAAAAAAAGAAAAAAAGGAAAATGAATAAATCCGAATTTATAATTAATTTATCTTGAACTGGCTCTGGCTCGAAAAGCGTGGGCCTGTTAACGTAGAATAAKTCACGATTTTCCTGTSKYCYYTKCTAGGAAGCGCGGTGTGCCTTTGCYATCCTAATCATGGCCATCTACTGGGTCACCGAGGTCATCCCACTTGCCGTCACGGCTCTGTTACCCTTGGTACTGTTCCCATTACTGGGTGTGGTCGGCTCCAAGCAGATAAGTCCTCCATACTTYAAGGACACTACTATTTTGTTCATTGGTGGTCTGATCGTCGCTGTGGCCATTGAACATTGGAATCTACACAAGAGAATTGCGCTCCGAGTTCTGCTGTGCGTCGGGACTCAACCAAGAAGGTAKGGTAACAGAGTTGAATTTTCTTTGCCTCAAAAATAAGATTCTTTGGATGATTCAGATCGATTTTTATTTAACTGCTGAGTTAGAGAAAAGAGAAAGAATGTTTAAGGGAATGACGATTGGTCTCGGCTGAAATAACAAAAAATTACATAAATGATGGGGTCTGTCGTTGTAAGACGTTCTTTGCTATAGCAAATTTCACATGGTAAAAAAGTCATGGTGCGGATGTGCAGCGCTGTGGTTGTGATAAAGTAGTGCCCAAAGTGGTAGATTGYGGCAAAGTATTTCATTGGGAGAGTTGAGTTCTTGCTTACTTTTGTAATAGGTCAAAGGGTGTCATCACTCGTTACCACTATGTTTCACAGTCATATGTAATCTTGCTGTTCTATGATGTCTGTCTTTGTCGCATGTATCCATAGGTTGATGCTTGGCTTCATGTCGATCACGGCGTTCCTGTCCATGTGGATTAGCAACACAGCGACTACTGCCATGATGGTGCCCATAGCAGAGGCGGTAYTACAAGAGATCAAACCAGAAAAGTTGGATAAGGACGAGGACGAGGTCGCCGAAGACAATGGAAATTCTCTTGAACTGGTCGACGCTTCCGCCGCTCGAAAAGAACCAAAACTTGAAAAGGAAAAGGAAGAACCAAAGAAAGAAGAAAGCGAAGCAGAACTAGGTTTAATCGTTACAGTTCAACCAGAAGAAAGGCAAGTTATCAAGTTAAAATAAGTCTCTTATCTTAATCTTGAACAGCTCCAGTTAAATAAAGTCAATGACGAACTCTCTTAAATTTATAAACACTACTTTTTCATGCAGCTTTGCYTCTTCTTGTTGTCGTTATTGACCACTTTTTTAATATAATTTTAAYCAACAGAAAATTGCAGGAAGATAAAGACGAAGAGGTAAACTATTCCAAATTAGTTTATTCACAAATTGAACCTTTTATCTGAATTCACCATTCTGTTTCAGCATAGTWTCTAATTTGTTTTGGAGGGTTGAATGCACCTCACGAAACCTCCTGTGGCTGCTTCCTGTTAGAATAAGGTCTTGTAACGAGATTGTATAACTGTTTTGATTCAGGATGACCACACCTTCTTCTCACGCATGAGCAAAGGTCTTATTCTGTGTATTGCTTATGCGGCTAATATTGGAGGCACTGCCACTCTCACGGGCACTGGACCGAATCTCGTGTTCAATGGCCAAGCACAAAGGTAAACATCCATTTACTAAAAAATGCCCTGGTTTTGGCGGGAAAGGCATCGCAGCAATTAATTATCAACTAAACAATTATTGCATGAGGTTCACTGATGATATGGGAGATATCATCAAGACCAACGTCGTGTTATCTGCCAAATCAATCAATTTTTATTCACACAATATTTACAATTTTTTGTTTACATTACTAGTTTAGAAAATTTATTTGACAAGAAAAAAAAAATGTAATGACAATATCTATTATGTAAAAAATAAATAAAGAATAATGTGTGTGGTTGTTGAAGTAGTTAAGAACTTTCGAGTCAACAACCACCGAAGCCGTAGGTTGATGGTAGCCTCAGCTATAGGTAACCCTATAAGCCTACCCTACCCTGCCCTACCCTACTCTACCCTACCCTGCCCCACCCCTTACGGTGATGCACCTTTCTATGCTAACCTCAATCGTTGTCGTTGTTTCAGTGTTTTTCCTGACAGTCCTGCTGTCGGTTTTGGCCAGTGGTTYAGCTTCGCTTTCCCTCAGATGATAATTCTTTTGCTCGTATCCTGGGTTTGGCTGCAGGTTTTTTTCTTGGGCTGTTGTAGGTTAGTAAGTAGTTTGTTATCAACGATTGAAGTAATGTGTTTCCATGTTCCTYGATGACTCGAGCCAAGAGACAAGGCCACGTGACATCTGCTATTAGGTTCAATCTCGTATCCAAAGACCTTATATATTTCTTACTGCTGGGCATGCGCAGTAAGAAATAAGGCTCGGGTACGTGATAACCATTATGTTTGGAAAGGCCTCCAATCTAAATATAAAATAATATCGAAATATATATTAAGATATTATTAATAATAAAGCACACAGGAAAGTCCATAAGTAACCTTACAAATTAATGGCCGCCGCCAATTACGTCATGTTACTACAACAACCAGAGTGCTTTTCATGRTTCTTTTTGTTGGTCTAATGAACGCCATCATCTTGTGACTCCAAGACGAGATAAAACATTCGTATAAGAAAAATCTTACCAAGAGGATTCTGGTATAGAATAAGGGTGCCATAGTCTTCTAAAGAGGAAATTGGACTCGTGGTAAAATGTAAGGAAAGTAGCTTAGTACTTTAGCCATGCAGTCACGTGATTACCACGTGTATCGTATCAWTGAAACAACGGGAAGTTATTCCAGTATTGCGGCAATGCAGTGTCAGTGTACACCAAATCAAAATGTGGCGACCATTTGGAATAACTATTATTCTGCACTGASTAGCCTCTCGTACAAGTAATTGCGCTGTATGTTTCAATGAGTCTGTCCAGAACAATAGTTATTCAAATTGATCGCCATATTTCGATTYGGTGTACCGTGCGTTCCCCATTCATACAAGAGCTAAATTCACACTTATCACACGACCTCTGTTGTTATCTTGCTCAGGGGTAAAGGGAGTAAAGAGAAAAGCAAGAAGCAGGGACAATCCATCAAAAGAACACTTCGTAAACAATATCAGCAGATGGGACCGAYGTCGTAAGTAGTATTTTTTCTTCAAATAAAGTGTGTTGAAATCTAGAACTCCCTATTCTTTGATTGTACGTTACGTCATCGCGGTCTCTCGTGGGATCTCTCTTTGGAATGCTTGCAACCCATCATCCTATCATAGACCTAAGATTCATGATGTCTTTTAAGAAGCCATTGCAGTTCATATTAGATGTTTGTACCCAAGTTAGACCAACCTGCACTCCTTGCAGCTCTTCGAAATGCAGCTCAATTTGGAGGACATTGCAAAAGGTTGTCAATTTTTATAAGATGGAAAAAAAWTTTTTGTGTCCTCCAAATTRAGATGCTTTGACGTCACATGTAAGGGATCTATAAGTGGATCTTGAATATTCCTCGTAATTAMCATTTTCAATTTGATTCATCAACGTTTGTTTAATTTTTAGAGATTTTTCTCTTAGATTTGCAGAAAAAGTCGTTCTTTGTCACTTTGTCATCTTGGCTTTTCTGTGGCTGCTAAGGGAGCCTAAGTTYATGCCTGGATGGGCCATTGCGTTTAATAAAGGGTAAATAAAGACAACGTCAAGATTTTTTTCTGGAAACGAGATGTTAAAAAAAATTGTGGAGGATTGGAGTATGTAGATTGAAGATTCATAGTTCTTGTTAACTTTTTAAAGCAAAGTCTTGGCCGTGGTGTAATGTTGAAGATGAGATACATTAGCTTTTTCAGTTCGACCTTCAATTAATGACTTTCAAATTTTGTCGATACTCTGAAACAACCTCTGGGCTGATCTAAGTCAGGGCACGGCTAACTTACAGATCGAACCCTGAAACAACCTCTGGGCTGATCCAAGTCAGGGCACGGCTAACTTACAGATCGAACCCTGGAACAACCTCTGGGCTGATCTAAGTCAGGGCACGGCTAACTTACAGATCGAACCCTGAAACAACCTCTGGGCTGATCTAAGTCAGGGCACGGATAACTTACAGATCGAACCCTGAAACAACCTCTAGACTCTGATCGAAGTCAGGGCATGGCTATTCAGAGATTGAATTCTAATCTAGGGTTTGGTTTTGTGGAGAGAGGAAAACCGGAGAACTGGAAGGAAACTCCTCGAATCAAGGGAAAGACAAACTCTACTCTTTTGTATTTTTCTTTTTTGTTTTCAGTTATGTCAAAGATGCAACAGCAGCRATGCTCATCGCTTTTTCTCTGTTCATTTTTCCTTCTGAAAAACCAAAGATTTTTTGCTGGAATACCGAAGGAAAAGGTAACAATTGACCATCTTAAAATCATTAATTATACAAGAGATCAGGACCCTACCGTAAAGCACTTATGTGACGCACGCATTCCTGAATAAAGTTGGGTTATTATTATATCGGTAAGAGTTTGGAGCAACCAGATGTATTCGTAACTGTCTCGTTTCTGAATTAGCTACCAAGCCTCCTCCGACGATACTAACCTGGAAGACTGTTGCCTACAAGTTGCCTTGGAATGTAGTCATCCTATTGGGCGGTGGATTTGCATTGGCTGAAGCAGCTCAGGTACATACACWAACTGGAAATACAATACAATCTGTTGCATTTCTGTATAGCTATAATAGAGAGCAATGATAGAGACCTTTTTTAACACTTTGAACAATTATTCACATGTCTCTATCAYTGCAAGCTCACCGTTGGTCTCGCTTCGATCAAAGGCACGGCCACCTTTCAAGATGGCGAAGGGATCTGTGAAAGGGRCTATTGCCTTTACGAWTTGTCATTCATCATGGCGACATATAACCACTATCAATTCTAATATAATTTGTCTTACYTTCAGATTTCTGGGCTATCTCAGTGGCTTGGGTACCAGCTCAGAGCTTTGGGCGCCATCCCTGATTTTGCTATCGTCTTAATTGTATGTTTGATCACGTGCGCATTTACGGAAATTACGTCAAACGTTGCCACGGCGACCATCTTTCTTCCTATTTTAGGAACATTGGTAAGTGACCAAATCAGAGTTATCTCAAGTGAGTTTTTTTCTGTGATTAACTAATGAATGTATCATTTCCAAAGGGTAAAAGTATAGGCACTCATCCATGGTATTTTATGGTCCCTGCGACAATTTCCTGTTCATTCGCCTTCATGTTACCTGTAGCAACGCCGCCCAACGCCATTGTGTTTTCATATGGTCATCTTAAAGTCAAGGATATGGTAAGTACATGCGCAGCTCAGGGTGCGCAGCTCAGGGTGCGCAGCTCATGCGCAAATAGGTCATTTGCCTGATGGCATGATTTACAAACAAGACCAGAATGCTTTTTAAGTGGCTTCTATTGTCACGCAAAGTTTACCAATTGTCTCTTTATTCTGATGAGGGTGGAAAATCTAAATAACAAAATAACATTCGGGTAATGGAAGTAAAATGACGGTATCATACCAATGGCCTATTATGCACAAACGATTAAGCTTTGAATGCATATCAGACGCGTTAGTAGCATTTGCAGCTTGCCTATGCTTGCTTGAAATATCTTAACATKGAAATTTGATTATTACTTAATATATTTTTTGTGTGTGACGGTATTAAGCCTTGATTTTCATGTTTTCCAGGCCAAAGCCGGGTTTGGAATGAATGTTATTGGCATTGTCGTACTCATGACCTGCTTCCATCTCTACGGAGTCAAGATATATGGACTAGAATCTTTGCCTGACTGGGCTTTACATTCTAAAATACCTAGCAATTATACCTTAGTATGCAAGAACGTAACCATGTAATCTAGCCAGTGTAGATGGAGGAGTGGAGGCTGGGAAGAGGGGTGGAAACTGGGTAGTCAATCCTTGTTGCGCTTGTTCCACAGGGTATGGATATACTAAGTATATACTAGTGTATATAGTGTACATATGTAAGTATTAATTACCATTATATAATAGTTTTATAATCTTTATTCAATAGCCCTTTTCCCTTTTTTTTTCTTTCTCGAAGATATTAGCTTTGTAAGCTACTCTGAAATTCGAGGTTAAATAAAGTTTATGTATGTATGTATGTAAATATAACATGCTAGCATTCTATGTGATTATTCCATCGATGGGCTACCTGTGGCAGGTATATTAATCACAGGGATTCCAAAAGCAAGACAATAAAAGAGATGGAATWCTGCAGAGAAAAAACACTTATAGTTTATAGTTTCAAAGACATTAGGAACGTACGACGTCTCGGATTCGTCGTGACCCATTATATTAAGCGTAAATAAATAGCTAGAGTTCAATGTTGTTATATAAAGTTTATATTTTGTTCCACTTTTTCTTCTAACACATGCAGATACAAGCCGTTGCAATATCTGATCACAAAAAAATAAAGCCATAAAATATAGCCATCCTCTATTTCAATATTTACCTAWGACAAAGCAGTCATCCAACCATCTTATAAATAAGAGTAGTCTCTTGCCAAGAATTAATACAGGAAGATTTAAAAATAGTTTTATAAATAGATTACATTTTAAACATAGATTAGCTATTTAAATTTATTATATTATATTTTTTTATTTTTCATATTATATATATATGTATATATTTTAGGTATTTTCATATTTGTTCTATTTTTCTCTTATTGTTTCTGCTTGCAATGTATGTATTCAATATGTATTTTTATCAATATGAAATAAAGACATCAATATTATTATTATTATCATATTTGTTCTATTTTTCTCTTATTGTTTCTGCTTGCAATGTATGTATTCAATATGTATTTTTATCAATATGAAATAAAGACATTATCATTATTATTATTATTACTATTATTGGTAGACGCTTTCTAAAAAATTCCTGTTATTCATGCCAACGTAAACAAGTCGTGACATGATAATAACATTTATACATTAACATACAATATAGTCAATACGTTCATTTTGGGATATCGCGATTGGATGCCGCATATTTCGCGTGATAAACACACAAAACATATATTTTTATTTTCACATATAACAATATAAATATTATATAAAAAACGTAAGGGTAATTATTATGGTGGTAGAGTGCAGGAATACACCCCAAAGGGTTAATAAGAAGCTTCCTTCACCCTAATACAAATATTGCAATATATGGATGAAAAGTGTTTGACTGTCAGTGACATTATTTGTTCAACTTGCGGAAAGCGTAAAACCTCAGAATACATAATTTCTTCGGCACATTCAATTAACATTGGCAATACATGAAAGTCTCAATAGTACTAACGCGTTTGACTGTTGGTGGATGGCAACGCAAAACTAAGTAGATATTTTTGTAATCCCAGATCCAATAATTTTTTCCAAATATTAAAAAACAAAATTTCAACATAATATTACTAGTTATAAATATTGAAATAAAAATCATATGAAAATTATTTAAATTCGGCGCAAATAACGTTTTGGCGATCCACGATCCAGATATTCGTAGTCCGGTCCAGTCCAGATATACTCGGTTCCTGATTTTCCCGAATTAAAAAAAACCTCTCAAAATTCAGGTTTTAGAAGTATAAATCAAATTTAAGAAGTTGAGTATGTTTTTGTTATACATTTAGATTGTCCACACTCTTTCAAAATCAGAAAATTGGAGAACTTTTTTGTTGTTGCTGCGATACACTGCTCCAGTTGACCGCAATATCCAGTCCAATCCCAAAGGACAATCCGGGAAAAAATTGAAAATAAATAAGAAATAATAATTTTTCAAAATTCAGTATTTTAAAGGATAAATCTAATTTTCGAGTTTTAGAAAGTTTTACCGTACCAGTCTCATTCTGCCTTTCGTCACCAGTCCTTTTCCAAAACGGAAGCGAAACTACATAACAAATGACTGATACAACTTCGTRTCTGGTAAGGAAGGATGGAAAACGACTGGCAAAATACGTTATCTGGCGTAAAAGATCGTATTCTTTATGCTTTTGAGAACTCGAAGTTTAGTGATGTGGAGTTTTCTGTGGATGGAGAACAAGCAACTATTCCAGCTCACAAGTACATGTTAGCCATCAACAGTCCCGTATTCGAGGCTATGTTCTATGGCTCGTTAGCAGAAACTACACGAGTAATAMACATTCCAGAATGCACTCGAGAAGGACTACAGGAAATGCTTCGATATGTCTACACCGACGAAGCAACCATAACAGCAAATAATGTCATGGAACTACTGTATCTCTCTAGGAAATACAGCATGTCAGTCCTAGAAAAGAAGTGCAACGATTTCATTTTTGATCATGTCAACGCAGAAGATGTTTTCCTTGTCCTTCCGCAAGTCCAGAAACTGCAAAACAAAATCCTTGAAGACAGATGTTGGGCTATTATCGACAAGGACACACGACAAGCGGTCAAATCTCAAGCATTTCTAGACATACCTCGTGAGATGCTATGTCAGATTCTTTCGAGAGACACTCTTGAAATCAAGGAGCTTGAACTATTCAAAGCGATGGATCGGTGGGTTTGTAAAAAGATCAGGGATCGAAGCCTAGATGAAGATGGTGATACGAAACGAGAGATTCTCGGTGAAGACATAGTACGACTTATACGATTTCCCACAATGACAATGAATGATTTTATAACACATGTACTCGACTGTGAAATCCTACAAAGAAGTGAGTTAACCGAAATTCTCAAAAGATTAAAGTCTCTGGAGCCGGCAACTACAGTATTTAATTCCACTCCAAGATCAGGACCGCATGAAAAACGCCAAGAGCAAAGACGGCGAAGATTAAGCTCCAGTTCTAACCGAAACCGCCGAAGTCCAAGTCATGTATGGGCAGCAGCAGCAGCAGCAGCAGCAGTGTTCGGCCGCGACGAAAGTGACAGTGATAATGAGAGTCAAAGAAGAAGTCGAAGTCCATTGTTAGCGTCACTGTTCAGTGACAGTGACAGTGATAGTGACCGTCGAAGGAGAAGTCGAAGTCGAAGTTCAAGTCCAAGTCTTAGGCGCAGTCGCAGTCGCAGTCGCAGTCGCAGTCGAAGCTTGACTCCAATAAGAAATCGTCGTTTTCAAAGTTGTAGTCCTCGTCGCAGTGTGAATAGAAATATATACAGAAGAAGGCCAAGGAATGATCGATAAATCCAAGAACCTTAAGAAAAAAACTGATCTTAGTTGCTTTATTAGTTCAAGACGAGAGGATTAGGGTGCTGATGTTGTAAAGATGCTTTTCTTTAGTTGTCATGTAATGTATTTCCATTTTTTGAAAATGAAAATAAATGTTTTGAATAATGTTGTATTTTTTTAAAACCTTCCTAATAATTTTCTAGGGAAAAACCAGGTGGTGGTAGCTGGACTGAAATATTCTTTTTAAACTTATTGCACTTAACGTCATCTCGGCCATGTTGGTGGTATTGAACTAAAGATTACTCATTAGCTTCTTCTTCATACGAACCAACATGGCCGCCATGTCTTTGACATAGGTCAAGGTCAAGGTCTTTGACCCCAAGAGGAAAATGCTTGCAACCCATCAAGACCATCAATAGGCCTGTATACTGTGCCTTTTCACTGAAGGTATGATATTTTTCCACTTCCGATAACTTCTTTGGAGCAAGATTTTTCRATTGACCTCTTGACCTCAATTATTATGAATTTTTATAAAATGCTTCACATTGAAAAGCAGAAAGAAAAGRATGCCTAAGCAAAGTCACCGGCCCGTGAATGGCCTGGCTGCTTAGCATTACATTTCACTGACCTAGTACTCCTATCTCAGCTCCATCTGATTCCATAAAATGCAGCTTGGTGGTTCCGTTCCGGGGGGAAATCCCTCTCTTGGAAGAAACTCGATCCTTCGGAAGGCCACCCRCCTGAATCTCGCAGCTCATTCTCGATATCTTACCATTACGGTTCCAAACAAGCCTTCTTGTATGGAGGGAAGAACAACGAAGGCAAAGAGTTTGACGACAAAATGTATTCACTGATAATACATCAGACAGGTGAAGGATCTGTTCAAGTAAAATGGAAAGTATTAGGAGACTGTAGAGGGAACCATTCACCAGGTACCTACCAACATCGATTACTGTCCACTACACTTTTTTGGTCACCACAGGTAGCCCAATTTGTATTCTAAGTTTGCACAAGTTTGGGTTGAGTTTTTATGGTATCAGATCAGATCAGCTATGTAATTATAAGAGAAACTCTAATAATAATAATAAAGCTGATAATGGTTATAATAATAATGACGATACTACTAATACTAATACTATAATATAATAATAATACTGATGACAAATAAATTACATAGATATGCATTTGAAGCATGTAGCAACAATGAATACTAGCTCAGATGTCACTTCATGCCTAATAATAATAATAATAATAATAATAATAAAGCTGATAATAATAATAATAATAATAATAATAAATGATAATAATGATAATAATATTGATGACAAATAAATTACATAGATATATGCATTTGAATAATAAAACATGTAGCAACAATGAATACTACTAGCTCAGATGTCACTTCACGCCTACTCCCAGCACTCCACTTGTAATATGCAAATTATAGCTAGTAATAATAGTGATTATAGTAATATTAKTTAGTAATGTCTGCTTCACTTCTCAGGACTTATCAGTGGCCATTCATCGGTTTGTGTTGGAGACAAATTATACATTTTTGGTGGTAAAAGCAAAGATGGAASATACCTTAACTCATTGCACCAAATGGACATCAAAACAAATGGTTGGAGTGAAGTGAAAACCACAGGACAGCAACCACAGCCAAGGACAGACCATGCCATAACTTGTGTTGGCMCAAGGATCTATTTATTTGGTGGAGAAGGAGAAAATGGACTGTTAAATGATCTGTATTTATTTGATGTTGATAATAAAACATGGCAAAAGATGCCTACAGGAAGATTAACACCCAGTGGACGACATGGAGCRGCATTGCTAGGCATGAGAAACACTAATGATGATGGTGATTTGTTGTGCTTGATGTTTGGCACTGGCAAAGATGCTATTATGGATGAAATGTTTACCTATAGTACTATAACAAAGGAATGGTATGACAGGCCAAGYAAAGGCCAGTTAAGCCATGGGAGAAGCTACTTTTTATCATGTCTTTTAATGGCTGGGAAAATTCTAATATTTGGAGGTGAGGATCAATTTGAAATGCATGTTTATTACCCCTGAAAGTTGTAATAACCCCTATTGCTGTTTTTCAATCATTCCCAAGGGAGTGAAAGAACAAAAGACATTGGGTCCATGTTGGTTGAAATGATAAAAGAATTCATGCATTGACAATTCTTTTTTTAAATTCAACAAAAGATAGCTGCCATGATGTCATGTGGAAACAAAGAATTATCCATTTCAAGTTAAAGTGGAAACTTACATGCAGGTGTATGCTCATAGGAAGGGTCCAGGAGTTCTTGGGAACCTGTCTTTTCAAGTTGCAAATTTTAAAAAGTGCTCTAGTATCTATAGGAGGGGTGCAGAGGTTGTGTACCCCCAACCCTCCCCCAGATAAGCTGTGTTTGGTGCTGGAGTTTCAACATCCTATAATCATTATGGTGCACCCACCCCTTTCTAAAAACATCCTGGATCTGCTGGATAGATAAACATACTTGTGTTTTGTTAACATAAAATAAAATTGACCTCTAGCTCCCTTGAAARGCAAAATACAATCTTTTAGTATAAATACACAGGTRRTTATTAAAAATCKCGCRYGCTGATTGGTCGAAACTCAGATTATCACACGATAATCACCTCCARCGATAATACAAAATGGCGGCCAGCAGCCTTGTTGCTGKTACCGAAAAAAAAAGTGTCTTTTATCATTTTTGTTGTTGAAAGAATCACCTGTGTATTTATACTAAAACAATTATTCACCTCAGGCTCAGTGAATATCRGGAATAATAACCTCAACTTTGTTTCGGTTATTATTCCCCGACATTCACTTCGCCTTTTGGCGAATAATTTTTAAATAATTGATACGAAATCTACTCTGTTATTTCTTTCTTCAAGGTACATCAACGTTAGCTAATCAAGAAGTTGGACCACAGAATGATAGCTTTGTATACAATGTTTTGGGTGGRAACTGGAGCAAACTGCAGCAAGCAGGGGATGAGTCAGGACACATCCCAACACCAAGATCACACATGGCTGGGTTTAAACATGGAGGTGATGGCTTTGTTGTTTACGGAGGTTTGGACAGTGCTGGAAAGACCCTTGGTGATTTGTGGTATGCAACAATTTGAAAATAAAGAAAAGAAATTTGTACGACCTTGAAAAGGTTTCTCAGCCTTTAAGCCATTTTGAACTTTTGCAAACTTGAAGAGGCTTGTTTACACTGTATTTAGTACTCCCAATATCTTTGATAGTTTACAGTGCTACGTGCCGTACCGTGAACACTTCTACAAGTTTTTAATTTCTTTTTGACGTCTTTTTGACAACTTTTTGAAAACTTTTTTCACCTTGATGTTTGGATAGGCAGATTTCAAACATTGATGTAACAATACTGAAACATTAAAGTGAAGCACCAAAACATAATCGCTTAGCAGTAARGAGATCAATTAAAACTTGTCAAAAACTTTCTTGTTGTAAAAACTTTGGAACTGAATTTGGTGACAAAAATAAGAAAGGTTTACAATTATCTAAAGTTCAAAGATTCAGGTGCAGTCCTTAGCAACACAAGTTGTACCACCTACCAACYCACATAACTGCTCAAATTGGGGTCCCAAGCATTGTGTGTGTCAAGCAATATTGAGGAAGCCCTAATATGAATGAAGTAAGTCATAGAAGTCACTTAGTTAAATCCTAAAAATGCACTTCTCTGCCCTGCTTTGCATAAAAATGCACAATATTGCTGCAGAATACTGATAATTATACCTCTTTAAACATGAATTGCATTTTAGTTTTCGTAGAGAAAATGTAAGAATGCGTGGCAAACATATAAATACTGTAAGATGCAAATAAGTCATTAAGAGTATAATTACACAGTTTCCATTTATTGCATAACACTCTCMATCAAGTATCAGCTTACAGGGTTTTAGACAACATCAACCACCCATGCTTTAGAAGTATTTACATCGGCAGTGTCATAGTGTCTTGATACACCTCTCTCGCCAATTGAATGGTTCAGAAGAAAGAGCACCTTCATCAGTGAGCAAGGATATTTGAATTGACCACAACTCACGTCATAATTTCTCTTTCTTTAAAACACCATTCACTGTCTTGCTTACGAATGTGTTATGTTATGAAGGTCTGTGCAATATGATTATTATTCCTTTTGAGGAATTTTGTGCAATTGTGTAGAAAAGTAGGTAGAAAAAAGATGTTGAAAATTTCTGAAATTTTCTACAAAAAGCTCAAAGAAGAAACAGTACTTATGACAATAGAAAAGAAGGCTGCAATGATTAAATTCTAACAACTAAGTAATTATAGAGAATATGGAATTTGATCAAAAGTAAGGTAAAAAACATCGGGGGGCTTCTTAAGAGAAATTTAAGGGTAAATTGCTGTGATAAGACTCAATAAAATGAAATTTGAAATTGTGTTGATTTTCTACTAGTTGAAGCTAATGCAGAATTATTATTATTATAACTCTTCTTTTTCCTTTGGAGTTGCTTCATCACCCTCTGGTAATTCTGATGGTTCTTCAACATCTTCTTCTTCATCCTCCTCCTCTGGGAATTCCTCCTGTGATCCATCGTATGGTGGTAGTGGCTCCTCATCTTCTGGCTCTTCCTGATCCTCCTCTTTCATCTTGGCATCATTTCTTTTCAAGCCATGAGACTYGAGCAAGGTTTTGATATCTTCTTTGCTCATTTCTGCTACATCTACTTTCTGTAAATAAGAAATAGGTAACATTCTTACACTCTTACTCAGTGTAATATTTTCACATTTCAAAAAACATTAAAGAAACAGAAAATTTCTTGGCATGTGTAATTTCCTTAAAAAAAGTGGGAGAGAAAGAAGAGGAGTTAATATGAAATGGGATCTTATGCAAGTATATACCTTTCGTAAAATCTGGGGTTTTTGAGCACCCAGCAACAACACATCTAGTCGCATTTTTTCATATTCTGACCGAAGAACTAGTAAGAATCTTTGCTTATCAAAACATTCGTTCTTGTTGTGACGTCACCACTCAGCGAGACTATGCTCGGTCCCAGTTCCCCTTTATCCCGTCCAAATTGATGGGGCGTGGCAAAACTGCGTACTTTAGGGCGTTATATCTCCGAGAATATTAAATATTAAATTTTAGTCAATCGAAAAAAAAATTTTGTTTATTCATCTCCAACACACAGAAAATCAAAATTGATTATAATCCTACAAAGGTTATATGCACTTTAAGGAAGAAACAAAACAAAAAAGACAAAATAAAAAAATAGAAAAAAGAAATGGGGTAATTAAAAACGATTAATGTCCCTACTTCTCTTCAAACCTTGTCTTGTCCTACATTCATTCTTAATAATAACAATAACAGCATATTTTTCCCCCCCCCCCCAAAATATGAAAGAAGAAAATTCACCTACCTTGACTTCCTTCCCCTCTTCATCATATAGATGCATAACAGGATCTGCCCCAGGAATGTACTTGATTCTTGCATCATGGCTTCTTGCGTTAAGGATTTTGTTAACACAACTGCATGTAAATCACTAGGATACCTAAGCATTGACACAGTAGCACTCTAGTCCTAAGCAGAAATAAAACCCCTTTTTATTTAAAAAACCCTTAAACTCTTATTGACACCCTTAAACAATTTCTACATCATAAAATCAGAGCACAGCTAATTCACAGAGTGAATTGGAATTTAGCCAAATTTTGTGAGAGGTAAGTGTATTGCTGGTATGCCATCCTTCGATTCCCATTTAAACATATGCATTATTCACACTGTCTTTTGAATTTTTCAAGAATGATAATACCGAATATCACTTATCAAAAGTCTAGGAAACTGTAAAATTTCATGTCCTACTAAATTCTTTGAGATTGGAGTGAGTTTTACCACAATAAATTTAAAGTTGAATGCAAACAAGGACAGTTCCGTATCTGATTTACAGACTTCTTCGGGGTGACTGATATTACCTTATTAATTATTTCTAGTTTGATAAAGATAAATGGATACTAGTAGGGGAGATCGTCATGAATAAAGCCCTTCACCTATAAGGACAAAAAAAAAGCAAACATGAATAATATGATAAATTATTTTGATATAATAATATTAATATTAATAAATGAAATGATGATCAAACTTTTAAAATTACTAAATGCAGAGATAGAAATAATAGCTGGTCAATATGGCCACATCAGACCTATCAACATGTGTCCAGTCAATGTGACCAGTCAAGAGAAAAAATGTCTTTTCATTGGTTGTTTTAGCCCTCACAAAGAATTGATTTWAAAAAAAACAAACAAGAAACGAGAAAAAACAGGAATATTTTCATGTGAATAAATAAGAAGGAATGACAACAAGTAAATGAATAAAATTGATGAAAATAAATGAAAAAATGAATATTAATGATCTAAGATGAAGTAAATGAATTTAATAGAATAAAATGGAATTAACTAAAAAAATTGATTAAGATGAAAGAGTTCCAGTCCCAAGAGAGCTATTATTGATTTTTATTATTATGGACAACAAACAAATATACAAGAAGAACATACCTCTGGAAGGCTATTCAATCGTCATCCACCACAAGTCTAAACATAATTAAACAAAAAATTCAAAACAATCTATTGTTTAAACGCAAAAGATCATGGTCGTCAGGGGGGGGTCAAATCAACGCAAATTCACAAAAAATTATTCTAAAACCCATATCAATCCACAAAGAGAAGTAGAATAGCCAGCAAACGCTTTAGTACATATTAACATATATTGTATCTGAAAACCAGGCCATTTTAGATTAAACTGTTTCGCTAGGAGCAAATTTTGTTGAATTTTCTATTGGATTTGGCGATTCTATCCCYCACATAAACAAGCAGTGACGTCATAGTGAAATAGGGCAATAAGCCTTTTCATAGTTTAAGAATCGATTCCACTGCACATGCGATTTTATCCCGAATTTCTCACATTCTATTGTCTAAACCTTCTTTTGTTCTTAATTAAACAAAAGGTGAGAAATTCGGGATAAAATCGCATGCGCAGTGGAATCGATTCTTAAACTATGAAAAGGCTTATTTCCATTAGGAAATTTTTCAAATAAAAGCTAAAGGAATTCCATTCAATGTGTGTGAGGTTATCCTTTCAATCAGATTGGACTTCTTATTGCTTACTGAATAATACAGAAGAAACAATAAATTTTCATAAGAATAACATGCTTACAGTGTATGAATAATAATCAATAATATATAATCGTAAGGTGTTAGAAACAGTTATAATTTCATTCAGTTCCTTGAAAGATTACCCCACCTCAGCTCTACCAAAAATATACACAAAATACGAACCCAAAGTCCATATATTATCTAACATATATTATCTATAAGTAAATATAATATTTCAAAAGCTGTGAGAAGAAAACACGAGTAGCTTTTGATTGATATTTTTAAATTCTGAGAGAAGAGAGAACAAAGAGTACAAAGAAAGTTACAGTACCTCGAGTCTTGCACGAATGACTGGACCTTTAGGCTTGTCTTCAGCCTTTTCCTCGCACAAACCAACACAAATAAGGCTAAATATACCTAGTATGATAGCTGCCTTATTCATGGTGCTAATTTTGTAGCCTTTTGAGGCTGTTTTTCGAAGTTTTTTAACGTGTTATCACGTTTTCCTCTTTTCGATCCAATAAACAACACGTCAGTGAACAAGTTATCTTGAGCCCAGAGTCTTCCAGGGTTTCTGGTCAGCGGGCTGACGAAAAGGAGGACTGGGTATTGCACGGGTACTCCATCCACAGTAATCCCTTATCTGACCTACGGGAAACGGGCAAAGTAGCTATGTATTATATACAAAGCGGAAAACGCTTATAGAAATATATATAAAAAGCATAGCTCTACTTTTCGCGGATCCGGATTCCGCTTTGCAATACCCAGAGACAGACCCAGACATCCGTARAGCTGAGGCGGCGTATGGACTTCAGACCTGACGGCGATTGAATCCTTTTGCCCTTGTCTGTACGAATTACGAAAGAAATTGTTCTAGTCAAAGCATCAAGGAAGAGACCAGGTGGCCCCAGAAGTTTTTGTAATAGCCACGAAGGGAGTTGTTCGAATTCTGTGCCGAGGAAAGACTGTTTTAATGTTGCTTTTACTTTCATTCCATAATTAATCAATAAACACAGATAAAAAAAGCAATGTAGAATTAGTTGGGGAGGGGGAGGGGGAGGGGTGGGCTTTTCATGGCAACCCACAGGGGGGGATGGGTATGTTTTATTCATGTGTGCGGCTTGTCAATCAATCCCTTGCTTGGCTCCGCCCCTGTGGTATAACAGGAAGGGAAGAAATTTATTTATTCACGTAGACTCACAGGAGCTTACAATAAAGGCTCGTTAGAACGTGCACGTTCTTAACTTTAACACGTTAACTTTTCATTATTTATTCAATTATAAATGATAATACAAATATTTGAAATTTTTATTAGGAAATACTAGCTTCGTCCGGCGAAACCTTGTGTAAGGCACATTTAAAAGCAGGAATGATAACAAGTAAATGAATAAAAATTGATGGAGAAAAAAAAATTCGAAAAGCGTCTACATCTTTGCTTATCATTGTTGTCCAAGTAGGGTCCATAAGAATGCTATCCAAATTGCGCAAATGGTCTTAATTCCAACAATCGGCCRTGGCCCGCAATAATCTATTACCGGGTAATGGATAGTTCCTGAAGATGTTATACAATCTTCATCCTTCCAAGGCTCCCATCGCCCTAGCCTTTTCGCCAGCTTCAAACATTCAGGATCTTCAGGTTGCAAGTGATATTTCATCACAGTTGAGTTGTATTCTTTCAGCCTAGCAAGCATTTGTTGAACAACCTCGGGATATTTTGCTTTTAAGTCATGCCTTTCTTCAGGGTCTGYCGTGATGTTGTAAAGGGCGATATCGATGAAGGGAAGTCGGTCAATGGTAAGCTAAAAAAAAGAGTAAAGAAAAGAAATAGCATCTTTCTAGTCGTTCTTTCCAAGGGGTGAAACTAGGATAATAGTCCCCTTCACAGTTCCCTGCGCCATCTTGAAAGGTAGCCGTTCCTTTGCATCGAAGCGAGACGAACGGTGACCTTTTTCTTAAAAAAGGACAATTWTTCTATCCTTGCAAGCTCAACTTTTGTTTACGCTTTTCGTGCTTTTACGGCGCATTTCTGAGGCATTCCTGGCCGGCGCAGGACGGAGGACACACAGACACTCAGAACCTTTTCATCCCAGATCAATCCTAAAAAAAAAGAGAGAGTTGTCGAGCAGAGCAGAGCAGAGCAGAGCAAAAGAAAAGAGACGAGACGAGGGTGGAAGAGGAAAGAAAAAAACTCAAACCATTTTTACCATTTTAGGTGGAGCAGCTCCATTCTCCGGCAGGCCGTACCAGGTACTGTTTGGACTTCTATGTAGGAGTTTCATGTGTCCTATTCTTATCGCTGCACCGGTATAATAGCTAAAGCCTAGAGGTGCATAGTTCATGGCTTTCAGATCTGGCGCATAGTCAATGTTATGGAGAATCTCTGTACGTTTGGAAGACTGCCCTTCGGATATCACCTTCCACTGATCCACCCCGTCTACGTCTTCGTCCACGGTTCCTCCTGTTAAGAAAATAAAGAATTATTCAAGAAAAGCGACTCCCTGATTGTCTAATGAGTCACCTCTTTAGCTTGGAAGCAATGTTTCCCTATCTCAGATGCATACTACTTGTCACTGGTCTCTTGACTAAGATTATATTTGTTTGAGGTGTATCCACGGATTCATGGATTTTTTCGTAAAAATAATTTCTTTGAATTTTCTGCTTTTGAAACGGTGAATATCATCTAAATGTAAAACAAAATCATCTCCAACTTCCTAAATTTGATTTATACTTCTAAAAACCTGAATTTTGAGAGGTTTTTTATTTTTGGAAAATCCGGAACCGAGCATGTCTGGACCGGACTGSACTACAGATAGCTGGATCGTGGATCGTAAAACGTTATTTGCGCCGAATTTTAAAGATCTTGAAATATATTTTTATCTTAGCATCTATAACTAGTCATTTTATGCTGAAATGTTTTAAAAAATCGAGATTAAAAATTTTTTTTTTCATTGTTGAAAAGCGKTATATTGGATCTTACATTGCAAAATAATTGCTTCTTGTCTGGCCATGCAAAAACAGTCGAACCTTTTAYTGCTTTTGAGGCTTTCATGTTTTACCAAGGTCTATTGAGTATGGTGAAGACCACCTTTTCCGAGGTTTTATGGCTTCCACACGTTTAATGAATGTCACGTGACAAAAAATGTCATGTCAAAATTTGCATCCATATTGCGATACTTTTTTTGTGTAGTGTTGTTCGCATTTCCTTGTTTACGAAATTATTACGATTTTGACTAAAATTGTTTGTTCCTACGAAGCTCAATTTACTTGTTTCTGGCAATCCGCCTGATCCAGGAAAAAGTAAAAACAGCCGTAAAAAGTAAGTTGGTTGGTTCAAATTTTATTTCTWTTGTTGTTCTGGAACTTTGATTGGCTGAGAGAAACTGTTATATAACTGAGTACTTTACTAAAATTGGATAATTTAAATTTTCTGTATGTAATTCTATAAATGCCAGATAAAAGGAAAGAGTGAAAATGCGTTAAAATAATATTGCATTGTACCTTGAAAGACTCATGTAATCAGGATTAGCTTCGTATTAATTAGTGTCTAAATATTCMCAACMAACGATAAAGTAAAGAATGCACAACTTCAACGATAAAAACACTTTGAAATTCCACTGAACTTCACTGGAACACATGAATATCATACAATCGCGACTAATAAGGAAAGGTAGGTAAGTCAACAAGGAAACAGTTTTCGTGGAAATAAAAAGGTTTGACCCGCCACGAAAGTTCAAATTCTTGGATTATTACCTGCCAGGTTGATAAGAGTTGGATACCAGTCCGTTACATGAAAGAGGTCGTTGATTTTCACTCCTCTTCTCTTAAGCATTGATCCATGTACAAAGGCAGGAACCCTGATTCCTCCCTCCCATATGTTGGACTTCAAACCCCGTAATGGCCAGTTATAGCCACCGCCTGGTCCAGGGAAGCCACCGTTGTCAGAGAACCATATAAAAACGGTGTCATTCCAGATGCTGTGAAAATATTGATAATGAATTAAGAAGAGGAGGACTTCTCACAAGAGAAACTCACTTCACATGTCGAAATACTTAGGCGTAAAGTTTTCCTATTTAGGACTACGTGTCATATTCCCTTGAGAATACGATTCTTTGTTCTAGTTGCATCCATATTCCGGTATGTGTATGTCTTCTCATGCGCAACCGTTAAACAAAGAAATGATGCTTTTGGGAATGACACGTGGTCGAATCATGACGAATAAGGTTTTTTGACCAGGCCCGTCGCTAGGACCTTGAAAGGGAAGGTTCCTTTTTTCTACCGATCTCAGTTATACCCTTTCTGGAAAAACTATTATTGGATTTTATTGCCATTTTTTGTATTGGAGAAAGGGGGGGGGGGGTGCATTTATTATTCGGGGGTGGGGAGGAAGGTGGATGCATCGAACCACCCCTAGCGAAGGGCCTGAGTGACGACATTTCAATTCAGAATCTGTGTCGCCCCCTTAAATATCCAGCACTGGCCCTTATACAAGCTTGAACTAATAACAGATACCTTTTATTTTTGAAGGTGTCCACGAGTCGTTCTATCGCCTGGTCAAGAGCGTCAACCATGGCTAAGTAGTTTCTTCTTTTTACATCAGAAATGTGTTTGTACTTGTCGATGTCCCGTGGATGTGCCTGTAACGGGGTGTGTGGAGCTGTGTACGACAGGAGAAGGAACAACGGCTTCGTCTGGTCGTGACGAGTTACTATGTTTATTGCTTCCTACAAAAGAGGATTGTGCAATAGATACATGTATCTACGTGATCTACGGGTAATTTCACCCAAACGCTTGTTCCAATAGACATCTTTATCTTGGGCATCGGTAATGTTTTACATTTCAGACCAAGTGCAATTCTCTTGAGAATAAGACTCTTCATTTGAGTTTTATCCATATTCATGTGTCTTCTCATGCGCAACCGTTAAACAAAGAAATGATACTCTAGGGAATGGCACCTGGTCTGAAATGAGGAAAAAGTAACGCCCAAGGTAAAGAGGTGTATTTCAAACAGCAAATTGAGGGCGTTCGCGGGCATCGTTTTTGCGTATGCATCCTTTCTGCGCGCGCACGATCATCGCAACCAAGCGTAATTATACCTACATCTGTGAAGACGTCAGTCGAATGTCTCCCTCTGTAATCCCATGTCGGTTCCATGCCTCTTCTCATGTCCAGGTAGCCCATTTTACTGTGATTCCAGTGATCTCCTTCGCCCATGTAGATGCCAAAGAACGAATCATATCCACGAGCTGTTGGAACGTAATCCCAGTCAAAATATCCAAGATGCCATTTACCAACAAGGTTGGTGCTGTACCCTGAAATGAAATAAAAAATATGCTATAAAAAACGTAAGCTACTTTAAAACTTTAAATTTTCAAAATTAATGCTGTATGAAATTTTTTGTCGCATTAATACTCTTTTTTTTTTTGTTTGGGACTCGCAGTCATTAATTCAATTTATACTAATGTGATTTACTAATGAGAAAAACACGTAAAAGACAAGACTTTTAATTGGCTTTCCTATTCAAGCAATGTGATTGGTTTACAGTGCATTTCAATGGTTTTTGATTGGTTAACCGGGAGAAGAAGCCCCTTGAATGTCCCGATACACAGTACACGACTCCTGATTGGCGCTCTAAAATATTTTCCACTGAAATTATTTTGTGAGGTTTAAGGATCGCTCTTCAAATTCTATTGACAACTGAAACAATTCAACCTCTTTTCTTGACTGATCAAAGTCAGGAAATGGCTAACTCACAGACAAAACCCTGAAACAACCTTTGGTTTGATCAAGTCAGGTCACGCCTAAACCACAGACTAAGCTCTGAAACAACCTCTGAGCTGATCAAAGTCTGGGCACGGTTAACTAGCAGATTGAATTGAACTTAGCTGTTTAGGTTTCGCGAGCGGAGGAAAAATGGAGTATGTCCATCATTTTTATGCGTCATTTGACGGATGCTGACTTACCGAGTTTGCGTAACTTTTCAGGTAGAGTTGGAAGATTCCTTGGCATCCCCCATGGTGAGGTACTGTTGATGACAAAATGTTGCATCCCTAGCAAAACAAGTTTATTTTAATTTAGTTAAGTGGTGTGAGTGTTTCTCTATTGAAAATAAAACTTTGCAGTAGATGCTAAAAGCCTGTAAAATGTCGAGAAACATCTGAAGGTGTATGTCTGAAGATGACTTCCACTCAGGTTTCTCAAGACCACACTCACCGGGACGATCCGCACACTTCACAACAAACTTTAACACCTGGGTTTAAACCATTTTACTACTCTTGTATGCCATAAGTTGACGAAATTTCTACGCATAAAGCGCCGAGTTTGTGAATAATTTTAGACGCAACAAGACGTCTATGGTCAACTGGTGTTCAGTCAAGTGATCAAAATCTCGATTGAAAAGTTTTTTTAAAATGTCAAATCACTAAAACAAAAAAGTAATGTCAATAAAGACAACGCTCTAAGTGTAAAATTCAAAAATTCGCCCAGTTTACATCAGTACATCATCCATCGTATCAGTGTGGACTATGGGCTCAAACCTTTGGGCTCCTCAGATGCGCGGCTTATTGCTCTCTGAAGGACGAAACACTAGTCTGCCAACTATCTACAACTTCCTTCCTGTATGGCATACTTTATGCATATATAATTTTTATGGACTTTATGAAACTTTAGTATCACTTATTTCTTGAAGTTACTCAAATCTTCGAGCCCTCTTAGACTGGCACACTAATTGCTCTCCGAAGGACGTGGCAGCGAAAGTCCAACACCTATCAACAATTATTCCTTTTCACGATTTCATATTTCTAAAGTAAACTCTCAAACTGCAGTTTGACGTCAGGTGTTTTCATTCAAACGTATGTCAACATTTATTAGCATCATAACGAAGTTGTCGATGGAAAAGTGGCCACAATGAATTTCATTGATGCCGATCGTTTCTCCTGGGTTAGCGGTAAACACGATGCTAAAGGTCTCTAGTGGTGGATTATCACCTGTGTGTAGGGGGTACTTCCCAGTCATCAAAGCTCCTCTCGACGGTGTACACATAGCTTGTGTGTAGTAACTCATCAATTTGACTCCATCTGCCGCCAGTCTGTCAATATTTGGCGTGTTAACGGCTGATATATTGTTATACCCCACATCACTCCATCCCAGATCATCCACCATCACCATTACGATGTGAGGAGGGTTTTGAGCTCCTTGTACACTCACAGCACAAAATGCTTGAGCTGTGAATAGAACTAGTCGCCAGATAACGTCGTATGTGATACGGCGATTCATTCTCTTGATCTGAATAAAAGAAAAGCTATGAACAAATATTTATTACGAGGGTCGATTATTTGAACTCAAGACAACAGGAAAGGTGTCTCAAGCACCGGGAAGCGGTAGTTCTGGTTCGTTAGTAAATATGACAAAATGGAGCATAAAATCGAAATTTTTTTGCTCATATTTAAAGTGTTAGAAGTGATACATGTCATTACCGTATTGCCATTTAAGTTTTTTGTTTGTKGGGGRGGGGGGGTCGGGGGTAGGGAGATTCGCAATGAAACAGCCCAAGCCCYCCCCCCCCCCCCCAAATGAAAATGTACCTACCCTTAGCCGTAGGGAAATTTTACATTACGCGTCAGGCAGGCTGATGTTTGTGAGCCCCCGTGGCGATCATCATTTTGACTGGTTGTTAAGAAGCCAGAAGAGTAGGTGGCTTCGGTTTATAATCATGAAAAAACAAAGATAAAAATAGCTCCATTTTGTCTGCCATCGTATCTTTTCAGACGTCAATGAGTTCAATGATATCCACTGAACCATTTTAACAATGCAAGATCTTTTTTCTTTATGAGAAAACTAGCTTCAGTGATGACAGACAAATACTTATATCTGCATATCAAACACGAAAACATCTTGATATTCATCGTACCTGTTTTGAACATTTCAAACCATGCGTGTGGAGATATTCGAAAAGGTTGAAATCACGATTTCAAGACATTGATGTCTGGTTGGATATCTTAATACGTACATAAAGACAGATTTTGATTTTTTTTCTTCTGAACACACCAACACCTTCTATCTTTAACAAAATTTCATTATGATATGTATATTGCTACACCAGTGGCGTATATATACATCATATATATACATATACATATTAATGTATAATAATATATGTTAATAGGATATACGAAATTCATCTACCCCTACCTTGAATTTTATAAATGTTGCTGAAAAAACAATGCAGTATTACTTGACTTACGCAGATCTTGGATTCAGTTGTCTTGTCTTTGGCCGTCGGGCAAGCCAGGCTTGTATAAAGCGCGACTCCTAATTAAGCTGTCTAGCTAATCTGGTGTCAAGTGGTGGTAATGACGTTGTGGACTACTTTAAAACGCATCAAAGTGTATTACGGGTTTTTTGCAGGATCAATGCCTTTTGTATCCATGAAACACTGTTACGTTGGGTCACATTGAGATGGATCGATAACACATTCTTATTTCTGAATCTTTGTATCTCTTTCAGTGAAGTGTAAATAATAGATTAACAAGTCAAAACAAAATAATTTAAACTAAGCGTCATGGCGGATTGAGATAAGCATACCAAGGCTAGTCCACACGTATCCGGAAATTTTTGTATCCGGAAATTTTTTTTGCGGATACGAAAATGTTCGCGTCCACACGCAGCGTATTCGAATTGTTTTCGAATCGTTTTCGCTGTCCACACGTATCCGGAAATTTCTTGATCCGCCCTGATGCAAGCTAGTGCCTAGTTCTTTTGACGGATAGTTTTTCTCATTGAGCATACGCAAAATCGTGTTTACGTCAGCGTATTCGAAAATTTGCGGATACAACCGTCCACACGTATCCGTATTTGGAGCGTATTCAAAAATTTCTACTCTAGGAGACCGTTTTCGGGGCCTTATCCTACATTGAAACCGGAAACGCATGACTAAACCATGTTTTATGAAAAACTTAATAAAATATAAAAAGTTAACAAGTGACACTAATTGGATGGCGAATATCGTGCGCTTTACACAAATGTTGTAAAGTCCGTAACGTGACCCAGTGGCGTGCCGTGTCAGAGAGCCTTGCGAGATCTGCTCTAAATTGATGCACAATTTCTTAGGCCCCGTCCACACGTATCCGGAAATTTTTGTATCCGGAATTTTTTTTTTGCGGATACGGGTTGCGTCCACACGTGTCCGGAAATTTTTGTACCCGTATCCGGAAATTTTCGAAAACGGTCTCCAGAGTGGAAATTTTCGAATACGCTTCGAATACTGATACGTGTGGACGGTCGTATCCACAAATTTTCGAATACGCTGACGTAAACACGATTTTGAGCATGCTCAATAAGAAAGAACTATCCGTCAAATGGATTAGGCACTAGCGTGCATCAGGGTAGTCTCCCCCACAGCCGCTTTCAGTGTCGTCACGCAACGCTTTGCGTGACGACACTGAAAGCGGCTGTGGGGGAGACTAGCATCAGGGCGGATCAAGAAATTTCCGGATACGTGTGAACAGTGAAAACGATTCGAAAAAAATTGCGGATACCAAAATTTCCGGATACGTGTGGACGGGGCCTTAGTTTCAATTTCAAAATTCATAAAATCATAACAAGCAATTTCAATTCCAAAACTAGTTTCAGCTTGATACAATATTTCAATATTTCTTACAATCTTTTTGGAGGAAAAAATGAACATTTAGAAAAAGAAGCAAGAAAAAGAGAAAGAGAAAGGAAAAGATAAGGATAAGAGAGAAATGAAGAAAAGCTGGATTAGGGCGAAAAACTTTCTCTCTCTATGCGAGGAGTTATGTTTTTTTGTCCTAGTCCCTTTCGCAGTTCCTCTTTCCCTTTTGGCTGCGCCCCCTTGTGAAAGCCTGGAACCGGACAAGCACAAACGGATCATGTGACAATCACATCTCCACTGAGGTCAGACAAGATTCAGTTCCGTGTTCAAAGAATCAAGATGGAAAGTTTTTATTCCTTCTTGGAGGAATTGAAACAGAACTAACTTGTTCGATCTGTGAACAATTATTTACAACACCCGTAACCCTTCCCTGCCTTCATAGTTTTTGTTCGAAATGTATAGAACAACTGTGCGAAAAGTGCAATAACACCAACGTTTCCTGTGTTTATCCAGCCTGTAGGTCACCTTTCGACGTTCCCGACGGAGATGTTTCCGAACTCCTCTCTTCGTTCTACCTAAAGGCTCTTCTCAAGTTGATCCAAGTTATTGGAACCAAGGAAAAATGGAAGGCACAAGAAATACAGCATTGTGGAAGCTGTGAAAATCCGACGTCAAATCTAGTGGCATTTTGTCAGGGATGCACTAGAGTTATTTGCAATGAATGTGTCAATGCTCACAAATTGTTGAAAAGAGTTTCGAAGGAGCATAAAGTGACAATGCTGAACGAAATTAACCGAGATAAGGTGGAAGATTTTGTCACAAATTTTGTTTTTTGTGAAGAGCAATCCCACGAGAACAACAGGCTGCATTACTTCTGTTTTGAAGAAACCTGTAAAAAGTATATTTGTCTAAAATGCGTTGCAGAGGATCACAAACTTCATAATTTTTCAAGCTTAGACGACGCGGCTGACAAGGTCAAGCATAACATCAAACAATACATGAAGAGAATAGACGACCTGAAGCAGGGATATGGAGAAGAAATATCGCTCTCCAAGCAAAATATCTCTCGGATTGAAAGCGAAGTAAACCTGGCAAAGAAACAGGTTCATGATGCAGTTGAAGTCGCGATTTAAAAAGCCAGAGACCACGAGGAAGCTATCTTCAAAACTTTAGATGAAATCATTGCCAGACAGCAAGAAGCAAACGAAGGAGAACAAAGCGACATCAATACTGGAATAAATCATTTATCTGAGTTCAATATTCACTGCCAATCTCTGATGGACAGAAACAGGAAGTACGAAGTAATAGATGTGCAGGACATCCTTAAAGACAAATGTGAAGTGGCGTTACAAAAGTCCTCGATATTTGTCGAGTAAACCTATTGAGCGTAACGCAAGATTGCGTTACGTGTCTCAGGTACCGGAAGTTGAAAATATGGGGGAAATTATGAAAAATCTACCCGATCCCTCAAATTGCACTATTGAATCGCTGAAGGATGGTCGATGTGGTTTTCAGAACCAATTTGAGATTCTAACGAAGAATTCAGAAGGAGAAGTGTGTGACACGAACATTGAATCTATTTACGTAGAAGTTAAGGATCCAGATGGTAACGAAATGAAAAGCCAAGTCTTTGGTAAACAGAAGGGCAAATTCAGTGTGAGTTATAGAGCGGATAGGGTTGGACCATGTACAATTTTGGTGAAAATTGCCGGCGAACTGGTAAAGAACTCCTCACGAAATGTGAACACCTTGGATGTTAAGTCAGATTTTATATGTGTAAAATGGTTTGGAGGAGGGAGAGGTGAAGGAGAGTTCATGCATCCTCGGTCAATAGCACTGAGTGAGAACGGAGAGATAGCGGTTGGCGACCGGGACAGTGATCGTATCCAGATATTTTATATTGAAGGCGAATATACGCGAGAGATTAAATGCAGAGAAATCCAAGAGAGTGAAAAGTTTCAACCTCATTCCGTTACATTTATTGAGGATAAACTAATCGTAACCGTTTTTTCTGCTGTGAATGGAGAGATTCTGATGATTGATTTAAAGAGTTCTAACGTTAGAACTATTTACAGACCAGAAGAACGGTTTGTTCCAAGAGGAATGTGTGTTACGGATGAAAACCACATTGCAGTGTGTTATAGTGGGAATGAAGAACATGGTGTCTACTCAGGAATCAAACTCTTTGATAGAGAGGGAACTTTCCTTCGAGAGTTTCACAGTCCAGAGAAAATTAAACTGCCTTGGTGCGTTGCCTATGGTAACAGGAAATACTTCGTTTCTTATTATGAAGAATGTTGTATTCGTGTCTTTGACAGTAATGGAGTTTTCCTTCACAAATTTGGAGAAAAAGGACAAGATGGCGGCCAGTTTCATAACGTCGCGGGTCTGGCCTTTTACGGTCCAAACTTGATTCTTGTCTGTGATCACGCTAATAACCGAGTCCAACTTTTAACTCAAGAGGGAAAATTTGTAAAATCATTCGGAAATGCGTTTTCAAGTATGAGTCGTCCAGCAGATTTAGCTGTCACATCGGATGGTCACGTGTTTGTGCTAAACTTCGGCAGCAAAAACGTACAGCTGTGGCGCTAATACCAACCAATTAAATGCTGATTAGCCAAACAATTAAACCTAGTATACGATCAGATTTTTCCCGTTTGGTACCACTTTTGTCCAACTGCTGGTGTGATCGGCGGTGCTTTTAGGGTTGAAAATGTCTAATGTGAACTTTTTAGGGCGTCCAGCTCAAAGGTCAGTTACGTCAATCTTTATTTATTTTCTTTATTGAACAAAAACATGGGAGAACAGAAGAGAGATTTCCAGATCCATCATACATAGTCCTACCTTTTAGGGATTGACAGCTTTTAATCTATGCGTCTTTCAAAACCGACAGCCGATCACCGCCTATGACTTGAACAAAGAGAATACCTGCGGATCCCTCTCCGGGAGTTTATTTTGTCGAGTTTTTTGTACTAGCTAGAAAATATTACACTGTATTAAAAAAACTTGTAATAATTTTTATATTTATTACCTTTGAAAAGAGGTAGTATTTAATTTTCATTGTATCATCACTCTATAATCCCATATAAGCAACTATTGTATTATTTTCAAATTCTCTTTCCGGTCCAAATTAAAGATTAATTTGGATCGTTTCCATGCATTCGCATTCTTTCGAGGGAAAACTATGACTTATGGAATCAGTCTAGTATAGTTTGGGATGATATAATTAATCTGTAATAGGACTACATGCTGTCCAATTTGGAAATAATTGGAGGAAAAAATTCCTCTGACTGTTAAATTGGACTCGGCCTATTTGCCTCTTCCAATTTTGGAAGTCCTCGGAATTTTTTCATCCAATTATTTCCAAATTGGACAGCATGTAGTCCTATTACCTATACTAATTGAACAGGAAAACTGCTGCTACCTAAATTTGCAAACAAAGAAAAGTCCAAGCTTGTTCAGTGTACAGAAGACCAAGATGTAGCCTTTTTTGATAGCTTTTTAAGTTTATAATTTCAAACGCAAAAGTGACTACTTTACTGATAAAGCTACATTTACCAGGCTGGTGGAGTATCCCAAGAACAAAAAGACCACAGAATGCAACCGCTACAGTGATATAACAGCTGAATATAACATCCAATAGCATTTGTTTAGATTTACTAATAAAAACTACATGCATGATAATAAGATAGCACTTTTTGAGTAGCCGATAAGATACAGTCAATTCAAAAAACGTTGTCGTCCTCCGGCTCAAGCCTACGCGACTGGACCGAAAGGAATATGGGTAAAAATCATTGAAACGGATAAATATTCGTTCTGAATTAATTGTTCCCGCTAGTAATAAGATAATAATGGCGAGAAACAATCCATCAAATGCATGTCTTTGGGTTTAGGGAAAGAAAAACAATAAAGTTATGATTCAGTTCACAATTTCGAAAATATGAAGGCATTAAAAAAATGTCTCCTTCAACACTTCCCGCTCGCCTGCGAAGGTTTGTGCTGTAAACGAGGCATAACTAGTCAGATAAAATTATGGAGTCAATTCGGCTTCAATGATTGCTACCCAGAGTTCCTTTCGGTCCAGTCGCGTAGGCTTGAGTTGGTCGACGACAACATTTTTTGAATTGACTGTATGAACAGAGACRAAGTATCTTTCAGTGCCATGAAAAGTGTCGGTGTACGTGAAGATATATGCTTCATTTATTATCAGTAGCACTTTAGGCACGAAATACACACGTTCACCGGCACTGACGGGTTCGTGCTTCCTTAAATTTTGTCCCTTCAAATGGCTCCTTCAAATAGCCAATAAATGCGCAAAGTACCAGGAAATAATTCAGACCGAAATAGTATCTGCTGATGATTTTTACGCCGGCACGGTTCAGGTTTTATTGAGCTTAGTCCCCACTCTTTGCTACTTCAAAATACCAAGTGCACAGTAGCAAACAATTAAAGACAGCGATGCCCGTTGCTTCTTAATTCAGGTAAGTTGGCATGTCTTCACCGGGGTTCAACAATGGCTGGTAACTTAATCGTCTACTGGAAGCTTCTGAATATTTCAAGCAATAGCGACTGACTATTAATAATAATCGTACTGTTTGTGACAGAAGAAAGGCAGCCACCAGCAAGGCAAATGCACACGGAAGCACACTCAGTAGGAATATCTCGAACATGTGGAAACCGTTTATTTGGGTTTTCAGTGGACCCTCAAATGTCACCCCAGCAGTAATGAGCACCGACTCGCTGAGATTGATTGTCGCCATAGCAACATGAATGGCCAGAAACACAACAGCGAAGATATTTGCTTTCTGGTCTTTGTAAGGCATGACGATGACGTTGTGGATGAGTATTAGCATGCAGACTAGTGTCATACACAGAAGTCGTGGTAACAGCATTGCTATGAACGAAAATAAACACAACATTACCAAGCGACGACCAATCATGATGCTCTCCCAATATAAAGCGCCTTTTGATTGGTTGTCCGGTGGACGAAATGGTCCTTGTAGGACCTCCAGTAGGGCATTCTGTCGTTCTTGATCCAAATGGTTGGGATCTTCTAACACGTCTTTGTCACATCTCAAACAGCGCCTCAACAACCAGTACATCAAGAAAGGCAGGGGCACAAAACAAGCTGCAACAAATTGCAAGGCGCTTATCTGATGCCGTTTTAACTTTGAAGTTCCCACAAATAAAACCAGCAGGAATGGAAGTACAAACACGATGTTGTAAGCGATCATGACGTACTGCCACCAATGGACCCAGCACGTAATGTTACCATCAATCACCAGCCGCCATTCGATTTTCCCAAGCATATCAAGTGGAACGCAGTTGAAAAGCATGAACGACGTGTGCCCCAATCGTTCATAGCCTAAAAGCAGAACCTCAACTATGGCAGCAAGGTAATGAGCAAAGTGTGGACTGGGACTCTTCCGCATCAAAGAGAATAACCAATGCAGCAAGTAAAACAACACAATTACTATCATGACCCCAAAGACTTGCGAACAAAGAAAAAGCTCCTTGGTGACGGCTGTTAACCCTGGAAACGGGCACCCAAACGACGAATCTGCAAGCTCTACTTGAAAGTTATAGAATGAAATGATGGAAGGTAGTAATGGCAAATTAGGTAGAATTTCTGAACAAGTTTCAAGCATAAGCAGTTCAGCAACCTGGTAGAAATAGAAGATAATCTTGAAGTAAGCATGTCCATCGTGATTGCTTGTTTTTTCCATGTGGTCCACCCTGGTGTTTGGAATGGTATGCTTCTTTTCCCTGAACCATAGAGCCTTCTTAGTAAGGAATAAGATCAATGATGGCTGACACAGAACAAAGATTGCTATGATTACGGAATGCACAGCAGCTACAACCCAAAACCAATAATCTCTACACTTATGAACGGGGCAACACTTATGATTGAACATGTTTTCAGTGTATCCTGTCTTACATGCTCCACACATCGTCCCTCCTCGATGGCCAGCACACTTATTGTAAGTTGAAAGATTATAACTGCGTTCAGGCTGTTCGCAGTATCCTTCTGGACATTTCTCAAACTTGAGTTGCGGGGGATTTTCCTGTGTCTTGTAGCCCCAGAAATTTGGCCGACTTTGGATGTTACTAGTTGTACACTGGGCACCAAAGGGACAGTCGAGGCATTTGACATCGTTTTTCTTTTGCTTTCCTCGATATGATCCACTCATGAGCGTATATTTATTAAAAGGGCACCTTTGGCAGCTAAATCTCAGTTGTATAATGGTCAACTTGCAATTAGCTTCATTTAAATCAGGACGGAGTACAAATGTGGCATTGAACAATTTGAGATAGCTGCCAACTGGACATACAAAAGTCGTTTCATTATCCATGTCAACATCATGTCCTCGTAAGAGGTCAAACATAGGAACTGTAACTGGTGTATAAAGATCAAACTTGAAACTCGTGTTTTTCATTATCAAAGGTCCTTGTGCTCCAACGAAGAGTAGAGGCGACAAGGGCACTAAAGATTTTAGTCTGCGCGGATTTTTCTTTGTTTGAATGAATCTAGTGTGATAGAATCTTGCCGTAGTTGCTCCTTTCTCCACGTACACATGACCTCCGATTTCTGGTTGGGAAGAAAAATTTTCCTCAAACAAACAATTGTGAAAAGAAACAATTCCACTGTTCACAAAGAGGGTCGAAGTAACGGCGGTATTGTTTAAGAATGTAACGTTATCGAAGATGATTGTGCTACGGTAATGATATTTTGGGCAGCTTTCGTTTGGAGATGGACTAGCTTTCATGTTGATATCTTCAATGTCGGGTAACGCTGGAGGGATGTAAAAATAAAACAGGTTTATAAAAGCTGTGTTATTTTGTCTGAAAATGTGGCGGTTGTTTTTGAATACTGAATTGCGGACAACTATCGTGAAATTGCGTTTGCTCGGAGTACTGACAACTCCCAAGATATTTCCATGAGCCCGTGAAACGTAATTAGACGTGAAATATACATGGTCCATTAATAATCTGCCCGATTCCAAGGTATTCTTCATACCGCTTCGTCCGACTTGTATTACAATACCATAGGTTTGATAATGGTTTTTGTGAAAAGTGGTGTTCTTTATAGAAATCTCTATAAACGAAGGTTTGGCGTTTTTGAAATGCACGTTATATTTATTTTCATTGAATCTGCAATTTTCAATATAAAGTGTTGAGTTCATCATTATCTTCGTTGAACACTGGATAAACAGGCAGACACCCATTGTAGCTTCACAAGTAGAATTTCGCACATACACTTCTACCAGCTTGTGAGTCATGATTGTCACTCCCGTATTTCTCAGAAACAAAGACTTTGAAATGTTAAGAATTGATTTTTGCATTTCATCTGGCAACGACACACATAATTCTACGGTAGGCTTGGTGCCAGCAGAAAAGGAATTCTTGATAAAACTACTGTTGCTTATTTGGACATCCAATATATTTTCATTATATTGCCCACCACTTGTGTGTTGAATGAGCAAGGCTTGGTCTTTATTGCGCGTGAAGCGAGAGTTTTTAATTGTAATTTTTGCAGTTTCACTTGCTTGAAGACAAAATGCTGGGAATCGTTTGCATCTTTGTTTCATGCACAACTGCGAAGGATCGTGGCATTCTTCTACTTCCAGCCCATCAAATAGTGCAAAAATCCTCTTCACAGTTCCGACTGACACAGCGCATCCATTGACGCTTCCATAACATTGCAATAATGTGACATTGTTCATGTTTAATTTAACACTCTGTTCCTTTTTACCGTCCACCTGAAGTATACCTCCCAATGAACCAGAATTATTGTGGAAAATCGAATCAGTAATAGAGACAATTACATCTCCTTTTGTGCAGCTGTTTTTTTTCACGCGCATTACTCCCCCTGGTTCATTTATGTGGTGTTCATGGTAACTTGAATTTTGTATGCTTATAGAAATACTATCACTTTTTGCTTCCAAAAATCTCAATGAGTTTTGGTTGTTCATACTTGCCACTTCAGAAAAAGTAAGATTTCCATCACATCCATCAACAAC